TCTATCTATCTATCTATCTATCTATCTATCTATCTATCTATCTATCTATCTATCTATCTATCTATCTATCTATCTGTCTGTCTGTCTGTCTGTCTGTCTGTCTGTCTGTCTGTCTGTCTGTCTGTCTGTCTGTCTGTCTGTCTGTCTGTCTGTCTGTCTGTCTGTCTGTCTGTCTGTCTGTCTGTCTGTCTGTCTGTCTGTCTGTCTGTCTGTCTGTCTGTCTGTCTGTCTGTCTGTCTATCATTTAAGCCTTCCTTATGATTAGTCAGTCAACAAGCAACCCACTGACTGGTAGATTCTAAAAATGTCCTTTTGCACATCTTTAATCCATATTCCTACACACACACACACACACACACACACACCTCTTTCTCTGTGCTGATAACCAACTGACCGATGTGGATTTGCAATACGTTCCTCTTCATTTATCCCCCCTCCCCACCCTCCATTGCTCTGACACAAGCCGCGATTTCGGCCTGCTCTTGTAGGCTACACACGGCCCCATGTGTGACTAAATGTGTTCATCAGAAATGTAGGTGAAATTCTTCAATTATTTAAGTATGTCTCCGGATTCACAAAACATTAAGGGCATTCCTCACTCTCGATTGTTTTTCTAACCCGGCAAACCCCGTCTCACCCTGATTTGGGTGAGGGAGAGAAAATATCACTCTGGAATTTTAATTTCCTGCATGAGTGCAGCACATGAATGTTCCATATTTTCCACTGAGCCAATGTTATCGCATCAACTTAAGAGCGCAAAAACCTTCCAAATCTGTCGGAATCCATGTTCGCCTGCATGTACCCCACCCTGGGGACATTTTGGTGAAAAACAAAACATGCTTATCTTTTCAAGAGTATAACATGCAGGTATGGTGCCTGTATGAGTAGCTGGAAATATTACAGGTTTTCTTGTTACATATAAGTTCTTGTTTGCTGAAGGCAGATCTGAATTTGTGTAAAACAAGATTTTGCAAATCTTGATGACAGGGCAGGGGTTTTCAAACTAGGGTCTGGGATCTATGCTGTCTATTACGTAAAAAAATGTTTTGGGATGTCAATTAACATGTTAACATAGTGTCATAGTTTTATTTATTTTTAAATAAATATTTTAAAATAGAAAATATAGTGCCTCACACATCTGAATCGTAACATATGTGCGTCTGATAAAAGTCCAATATAAACTTGAAATTTTTTTTAAATAAAAAATAAATGCCACGCTCTCTATTAAAACTTGCATGATGTTTATATTACTTTTATGTATTACATTTAATCATTTAACATATTTACAGAATTTAGGTCAAGTTCTAAAGTCAGAAATCATGAAAAATCATACTTATTGTAAAAAGTGAAAATGGTAAAAATTTGAAATGAACTGAAAAGCTTTAATATGACAATATAAAAGAAACATCTGTATAATGTCACACTGAATATTTTATTTATATTTTATTAATATTAGAAAAATATACATTTTTCTCAATGTCTTTTACTAATGTAAATGTTTTTATATTTCAGGAAGGGGGACTTAACTGTTGGTTTGAACCTCCAACCTTTTGGTTAAACCACTTCACCACGATGTCCATAGCAGAAGGAAAGAAGCTACACAGCTTCACCTATTCACAGTTTTGGAACTAAAGTACAGCTGTGGTTGTGCAAGTAAACAAATTGTTTTCTCGCCCTATTCTGTGTATTTCACCTTTATCGTCCCAGACAATCTCTCTTTCTCTCAGCCTAGAACGAGACAAGGAGATTGTTCCTGCTGTGCGGTCTAACTGCTCTCCTTCACACACACACACACACAGTTCCACAGCCCAGCCGTAATGTTCTGTGTCTGTTTCTGAAACCAAGCAGGGCGATACGAGTGAAAGAGAAGGTAAGAATTTCAAAAAATAGCCAGAAAATCGCATTTTTGTGTGTAGTTCCACACACACACACACACACAGGGTTCAACAGCCCAGCTGCAATGTTCTGTGTCTATTTCTGAAACCAAGCAGGGCGATAAAAGTAAAAAAGAAGGTAAGAATTTGAAAATAGAGAGAAAATCGCATTTTTCTGTGTAATTTGTCCCCCTAACCCAGACTAAACATCTTGTGAGCTGTGTCCCCCCTTATTATACTCCCAGAATCCCAGTCACTTACTGCTTTACACACTGGCTGACCTACAGCTGAACTCCCTGACAAGACAGCGAGACGGAGGAGAGGTAGAGAGGATGTCCACAACCAGCGAGTGGAAGTGTCGGCCCACGTGAGGCTTCTGAGAACTGTAATCCCTCGCTGCACGTCAACAAATTAAACATAACAACTGTGCCCGGCAACCAATCGCCACCTCCCCGGCAACAGGCAGGGGACTGATTTGACAGAGGCGCAGAAGTGTTGTCTCCTGTAGACTGTGTGCTTTGTGGATGTTTGTGAGTGTATGCAAGTACGCCTATTATAGGATAGATGGCAGAAATGGCAACAGTTTGAAATGTGGTGAATGAGAGAGACAGATACCTAAAGGCTACCTATAAAAGCAGGATGGCAAGTGTAGAAAATATAGAAAATTGATAGCTAGGAATGAGTGCAGGGGAAATGGATGAGAGGGCAGTTAGATTTGAAGGAGACAATATAAAAGTATAGAAGCTTTTCTGCCTCAAAGTAAAAATAAATAAAATTGCAACTGTATTTTTTCGTAATTGTGACTTTATATCTCATGAATGATGTTTTATATTGTAGAATCTGACTTCTGAATCAGACTATATCTCACAATTGCATATTTTAAAATCACAATAAAATATTTCATATTTTAAAATGTGACTATATCTTACAACTGCAAATGTATTATCTCACAGTATTTTTATATCTCAAAATGTGACTTAATATCTCTTAATTCTGACTTTATATCTCACAAATATTTTACATCTTAAATCTGACTTAATATTTCACAATTGCATTTTGTAAAATCACAACAAAATATTTTATATTTTAAACTGTGACTTTATATCTCACAGTGATATTTTATGTCAAAATCTAACAAAATCTAACAATTGTGACTTTTATATCATAACTATTTTATATCTCACAGTTGCAACTTTATATCTCACAATATTTATATCTCAAAAAGGTGACTTAATATTTCTTAATTGAGACTTGGTTCTTGTTTCAACTTTATATCTCACAGTATGATGTCATTTGAAATATTTCAACCCTTTTTTTTTTTTTACTCTGATACAAGTGATAAAGTTTGTAAGTAGCAGGTTTTTATATAAATGCTTGCAAAGACTTTAAGTTGCGAAACAGGTTTGGTGATGTGATCTTGAATAGTAAAGCTTCAGAACTGTGTGTGATATTGCATGTTGAGTGCATGTGGCAACACTGTTGTACTTTAACAGTCCACTTGAGAAATTGGTTACATTGGTTAAACTGACACATCTAAAATAATGGCTGCAATTGCAGAATGATTGACAGCACCATGGCTCCGCCCCAACACCATATATTCTGTGCAAATAATATCTTTTAATTCAGAACACTTGGTGTCAGAAGCAGTGTTGCAATGTGCATATTTTAAACGACTTTTACGTGTGTGTGTGTATTTTAAATTTTTTTCCGTAAAGTCACAGGTTGCAGTTTTTGGGCTTATTTACAGCTGCTTACAGTATTTAGGCTTGTTAGATTTCGGCCCCCAGTTCTTATCCCATTTAACAATTAACACAGTCAAGCCACACAAATGCTTATTTTGGCATATTTTGCTGAGCTGAGTACATTGGGCTTTGTTTGTCAGACTGAGTTTCTTATTTTTTCTAGAGATCTGGCAACACTGGACAGAGACAAGCTGGTCTTGCAGGGACAGACGTCTGAGCCACACTGCAGCTTGTTCTGGTCAAGAAATGCCCACCAAGACAGGAAGAGACATCTGACCGGTATGTAAAGAGACCACGGTTTGTTTTTGTTTGTACACATGGTTTAGGGATGGGTAAATCTGAAATCAGTGCAACAACAATAATAGGTCAGCGTGGAAAAACTCAAATTATGATGCGACAGAGAAAAATAGCAGAACATTTATCCATAGGTAATAAGTTCTGATTATTTCACAGACAGAAAACCTTGCAAAATATAGTTATGCTGTTGAATATCTAGTTTACTTGATACAAAAGTTCCATAGAACCAGTTCCCCTCTCAAAATGTCAATTGCTTTAAATTTAAAGGACTTTAAGCTGAAATTTACCAAGTACATATACTTAAACATGTAAGACTCCATCATTTTCTAGAGCAGTCCAGAAAAGCAGGGCTCATACAACAAAGTTATTTGCTTTAATGGAGAGAGAGCTGAGATTTATTCTCCAATAAAGCTGGGTTTATTAGCCACCAATAACCAGGTTTACGTACCGTCATGGTTAGGGTTCCCCAGAGTCCAGGGCTCATCCGAATCGAAGTGTGTGTCTCCTCCAATCCCCGGACCAGGAAAGTAGGCATGTGCAAGGAAACCCCCTTCTCCATCGAAGGGGGAGCTATCGCCGTGGAAACCTGAGGCGAAAATGATAGTAATATCCACATCTTTCTTGTTGCGCTCCAGGTCGCTATAGGGCACTGCCTCGAAACGCAGCGGCGTGACTTTCTGCCACACATCGAACGCCCGGCGAATGGCGTTGTGGGTCTCCTCCGCTCCCACCTTAGGCGTGACATTTTTTATACTGGAAAAAGGATAAGATGACAATCAGAAAGTGTGTATTTTACACACAATGATCAAATAAATAACTCATATAAATAAAATATTTATGTGTTGCACATAAATATGAAACGCACAGGAAGCTTGACTTTAAGCTGCAATATAACAAAGAGTGAAAAATTTAAGGGGGTCTGAATACTTTCCGTACCCACTGCATGTATGTATATATATATATATATATATATATAAAATAAAAATTAGGAAATAAATATATTTAATATAATTAATAAAATAGTAATTTTGAATTACTAAAATTGCTTAAACTGAAAGAAAAATAAAGCTAAAAATAAATATCAAAAACCGTAATAAAATGGCAAAAGCACATAAAATGACTAAAACTTAAACTAAAATTAAAATGAAAACTGAAAATATAAAAATAAAACTAATTCAAAATATTAATAAAAAACTGTAAAAACTGTAAAAAATTTAACCAAAATGCATCTTATAAGGCAACTTAATATCGCTGGCTTTTTGGAACAGTTTTCACTTCGAGAATGACTTTAATATGCTGTCTACAGAGGCAGCGCACTGGGTTTTAGAACAGAGCGAGTGTATCTCACTCCATGAAATCTTGCAGAAAGAGAGACAGACAGACAAATAGAGTAAATTAGGTGGAGCTGCTGCTTCTCCTGCTCCTCTGTTGGAGGTGCTACAGGTGAAGCAGGTTTTATTTTCTCACTGAGGATTACCAACAGCTCACTACACTACAAATGCCGCCTGATGTGGGCATATTTTTTTTAATGATGTGTATGATATGATTTAAATGTTTTAAATGTTTTTTAAGCACACTGTTTCTCTTTAGCAAACCAAATTTTCTTTTGCCTCTGGACGGAGTTTGTAAAGGTTGAAGGATGCAACTTCGAGCCGCTCTGTCTTATGGAATTACTTCTGAAGTAGTAATGTATTGGTGTCAGTGTTGAAGAAGCTACTTCTACACTATACACTAACTTAACCAGGCTACAAGTTACTCATATTAAAGTAGTTAGTTCAACCACAGTCAAGCTAATGTTTTGAAAAAGTAATCTAGTTGCACTGCACGCCATCTAGCCACAACTTAAAGGGGCAAAATCTATTGGAAATGAACATGTAAGTACTTGCAGAGTCTCAAATCAGTGAAAAACTTATTTTTGAACAGCTTAATTTGCATGAACCATCCAAATGAACCGATTCACTGGAATAAATCAGATTCTCCATGCTTCATTTGCAGAGTTGTTATTGTTAACTAAAACTAAAAGTACTAAAATTGTTTTCGGAAATTGAACAAAATACAAAAACTTAAGAAACTTTATTGAAAATTAAAAATGTGGTATCGGCAACTAACTGAAATAAAATAAGTTTAAGTGGATGTACTAAAACTGAAATAAAAATAAGGTTAAACAGAAATATAAAAAAAAAAAAAAAAAATGACAAAGCAGAAAATTGCTAAATCTTATATGAAAGTTAAAAGCTACACTATTATGAAAACTACCAAGCTACTGTTTTGCTACTAAAAATATAAAGCATTGCTTCATGTTAGTTACCCCTATAAACCTCAATTGAGTGTTAATGTATTTATTGATTTATACTTTTACCTGACAACATTTATGAAACAATACAGTTGTGAATAAATCATTCTATTGAGGCAGTTTGATTAAATCGTTTACTGGTTTACAGTTTATCTGAACGATTCATTCACAAACCATTCTGAAACCAAAGCAACTTGTCAACTTTCTGATTCACTATCTTACTCATATTCTTACACGGACTCTGATGCCTACAGTAAGTACATGCAAATATCATTTACTGTCGTAAACCTTCTGACTGTTTCCCATGGGTTACTTTAACTTTTACTTGAGGTACCTTCATGAGGGTATCTTTTCTTATACAGGTACTTAAGTATGATTATCAGGTACTTTATACAACATAGTGCTTGTGTCTATAGTGTATTAAACAAAACTCTCAATCAACTCAGTAGCAGCTGTTTTCTCAAATGTGCAGAGGAATTTAAACTATATTAAAGCTGTGCCTCTTAAAATATTTACAAGACATAATATCTCACGGAAACCTAAGCTCTCTATCTCTATTTCTCTCTCTCATTCCCTCCAGGTGGTGCAGGATGGGGTTTGGATCTCATCCACATACAGTTGTTCTGTCTGTGAGCGCAAACTATTAGATCAACATCTGGCTTCCACTATTCATGTATTTTTCTTGTTTTTCTCAGCTGTACTTCCCAGAAATCATAATCCTGTCTTTGAACTTCATGACCCTTCAGATATTTATTTTCCTCTTTAGGCTTAGATTTTCAGCTCAGCTGCTGTGAAGGCTGCTTGTTAGAGCTGTGTGAGGTGTTTTACAAATCTTCCTGCCGTGTTACTCATCTGCGACATACAGAATTGATTCAGTTAAAAAAATCACTGAGAAAAGAAGCATAAATTTGCATCAAATCTGGATGTCAGAAAGCACTTGGTTGATGACCAGAGCCAGTATAAATCGTTTCCACAATCTAACCGCGTTAAAGGGCACCTATTATGCAAAATTCACTTTTACATGTTGTTTGAACATAAATGTGTGTTGGCAGTGTGTGTTCACAACCACCCTATAATGATAAGAATCCACCCGTTCCTTTTTTTTTTTGTTAATCCCCATAAATCATAAGCAGCGTCTTAGAATAAGCAGCTCACAGAATCTATCAAATGTGATGTCACATTTTACAGGCCCCGCCCACGACTGTTGATGGACACCGCCGTATTAGCAGAGACCCGCCCTGAGTGAGCCGCACACAATCCACCATGTTTATCTGCACGCGAGAGCATTTAAAAGCAGCATTCAAGTAAGAAATGTTGTCTTATTAAAGCTATAAAAGTTATTCAGTCCAGAGCAGTGAGTGATTTTCTGTTTTTATTTTATTGTTTGGGTAATATTATCAGCATAGACAGCAGTATAGGTACTGTATATTACGCTGCTGACACATACACAGATCTAATATAAACATGCAATTTCTTTCCCCACTGTTTACCTTCACAGACATAACTAACTGTGTTTTTGTAACTTATGTGTGTTTTAACATAAACTTGTGTGCATTTAAGAGTTTTTATTATATTACAATTTTATATAAAATGTTAAAATAATATTAATAGATATAGAATCGATTAAAAATCTATTCATTTTTTTTAAATATGCTGGCCTCATTTACTTCCAATGAAAGTGTGTTCTTTTAATTAACATTAACATTAATTAATTACATTTATGCATTTAGCAGACATTTTTATCCAAAGCAACTGGAGCAACACCTCACTTTGTTCTTTCAAGTCTTTTGCTGGCGATATTGAAACTATGTCAGTAACGTGAATGAATGTGTGTGTGTCAGTGGTTATGAGAACCCAGACTGCTCTGAGACCAACTCAATTAGCCCAGACTAACACACACACATACAGTGATGCTATTTGTGCTTGTTATAGCATAAGAATGAGGAGAGGCCTCTGTATGTGTGTGTGTGTGTGTGTAAGTTCACATGGTATGATCCAGGGTTGGGGGATGGTACAGTCTGGATCAAGACAGAGAGCAGGGAGTGCTGAGGGGAACATCTGCTCAGCCTGGCTACACACACACACACACGCACACACACACAC